TGGTATTTATAATTCTGTGGATATTTCAAAGAAAATCATCGACAGAATATCAATTATTAATTACATATGTGTGTTATTTCTTAAGTTCAAATATTTCCTTTAGAATTTTCTGATTTATTTCTCCTTGCTTATTCTGTAACACAATGTCTTTATTGATACAATTTCGCAGGTCCAAAAGACATATTTGTTCAGTTGCTCAAACACGATGGTAAAACATACGTAACGGATATATTGTCCATTGTCCATTGTTTCTCAAAATCAAATTCAATTATTCATTATCCATATTCTTAAATTTCCATAGCCTTATTTTATCAAATAAAAATTTATTTTCAAAAAATAATTTAACGACACGACAAATCGTAATTCAAATGGATCAATCAATCCTTGTCTTGCTCCCCGTACGCGCGCATCGAAATAGCTCAACCTATTACGCTGTGATTCATAAAGAAATCTAAATATTTTAATGTTGAAAAATCACAAGACGTCCCAGCTAGTAACGTATTTATCATCGATAGTAAATTTATAAAAAAAAACTCATCTCAATTGAAATATCACAATTTCAACGTCCACTGTAAAATTTGGAAGGAAGACTTAAATGCAATCTACACAAAGTAAACTTTGAAAATAAATGGAATTTTTTATTATTAGTTGAATTATGGATGAATGAATGGTAAATTATATAATATTACTAGCTGACCCGGCAAACATTGTTTTGCCATATATAAGATTTCTAGGGAATTTCTAGTGTAGAAAAAAAGCTCACTTATTGTAAGTGTGTAAGGATGTGGTAAATGAGTGAAAGAGGTATGTAGTGCTGTGAACGATGAGGGAATATATAATAAAAATAACAAAACCTCATTCAACCACATAATACCTCATTTTAACAAAAATAATGTCCAAATAAAAAAAAAATATGTTAGGGGTGGACAACCCTAATCACTTAGGGGTATGAAAAATAGATAGTAGCCGATTCTCAGGCTTACTGAATATGCATAAAAAATTTCATGAGAATCGGTCAAGCTGTTTCGGAGGAGTGTGGGAACGAACATTGTGACACGAGAATTTTATATATTAGATAATATCTTGCACTGCACTAAAATTCGCATGTCAAATAATTTTCACTATGCTTAGCGAATAAATGATTTCTTTCTTTCTTTCTTCTTTCTTTCTTTCAAGATTGATAACGTTTTAACGGGCTCAGTTTTAAAAACGCTATAAATTACAAAACTTTATTTCATGAAATCTTTAAGTTTCTTTTTAGTGTCCGATATGATTACGATACCTATCCGATATGCCGATATCGTCACACTTCTACATTTTTATGGCCGTATATAACTAATCGAGTGTATGGCCTAACTGATAGTTGGTGACATCATTTAGACTTGATCCACTATTTTAGTATTTGACTACGTGATATAGTATTTGACAATACATAAGTTATGCCATTTAATCATTAACACTAAACATGTCGAAACCCGATTATTAGTCAGGTTTTATTATTATTTATTGCTTAGATGGATGGACGAGCCCAGCCCACTTGGTGTTAAGTGGTTACTGGAGCCCTACAGACATCTACAACGTAAATGCGCCACCCAACTTGAAATATAAGTTCTAAGGTCTCAAGTGTAGTTACAACGGCTGCCCCATCAAACCGAAACGCAGTACTACTTCACGGCAGAAATAGGTAGGATGGTGGTACCTACCCGCGCGGACTCACAAGAGGTCCGAAAACTATGGACTTTTGTAAGCACTTAACTCCATGCGGGCTTTAAGCTTAATCACCAATGCTAGCAATGAAAAATAAAAATAAAACATTCCCCGTTAATAGCAGTAACAAGTGTCTGTTTATTTTTATTTATTTTTACGTCTCGCGAAATCAGGTCGGATTTAAGATAGGGTAAAGGCGGAGTCTTCTTAACAAAACGAAGTGAATGTTTTTTAATTTATTATTTACATTTCAGACTTTTTTCATTGCTGTTAAATAAAGTGATAAATGGTTAGCAACGTCGGTTATAGACACCGGAAATAATAATTAACAATACATAAAAACAATTTACAGTTTTCTTGGGCACGGAAATGTAACAAAGAAAATTTTAAAGTTATCAAAACGTCAGAAATAAATAAATAAATAATAATAAATATTTACTAACAATCACGCCACGTTAACTGGTCCCGTGATAAGTTCGTAAAGAACTTGTGTTACAGGTACCAGATAACGGAAATAAATGTAAGATTTTTATTATACACATACACATATTTAATATACATCCATAACTCTGGAAAAGACATTTATATTTATCATACAAATATCTTCCCTTGGCGGGATTCGAACCCGCGACGCCCTTATGTAGTGACTATGTCACTTACCACTACACCAGACGGCCGTTAAATAATAATAAATACTGAACAATAAGAAATCCGAGATTAATCTAGCTTAAGCCGAATTATATAAACTATATTGTATTAACCCGATTAATTGCGTAGAAAATAAGTTTTTAATTAAACACATCAGTTAAACCGTTTCCCTATTTAGGTTTAGATCAATATTTTTCGACGATTCCCAAACTCGGTTGGCAAGCAATGATCGATTTTCATCAACATTATTTTTTTATATTTAAATGCAAACGCACAATATTTCGTCACAGATAAAAACATTAAATAAGTAATTATATATAGTTAACTGTTTTTTATGGGAAAACAAATTGCTCTCTGTGTCGATTAGAATTACATTTCTACGGTATTCGTTGATTCTTCCTGCCTAAAAATCGCTCCGCTTAATTCCACGCTCACAGTACGACTTCGTCTTTAAAAAGTTAGAAAAATATACAATCTAATTTTATAGCCCGTTCCAATTCCCTACGAGAGGGCCAATCTATGTGTCGATTGAATAAATAATAAATATAACTTATTGAAATGTGTGTGTTTATAACGTCCATATTGTGTAAACTGAAATAGAGCGTCAGAAACATTTTCATCACGGATGTTCATCTACATACAAATCGTAAAGAAACAAAATTAATAAATGCAATTTTCTCGCCTGCTTGTCAACCGATTAACTTTTTTTTACTCGTAATTTTTTTTTTATTGCTTAGATGTGTGGACGAGCTCACAGCCCACCTGGTGTTAAGTGGTTACTGAAGCCCATGAACATCTACAACGTAAATGCGCCACCCACCTTGAGATATAAGTTCTAAGATCTCAGTATAGTTACAACGGCTGCCCCACCCTTCAAACCGAAACGCATTACTGCTTCACGGCAGAAACAAGCAGGGCGGTCCTACCACCGGTTAAAAACTATTGACTATTGATTGCTGAGCATTTGATTTAAAAGTGAAAAATATAAAAATTAATTGCTGTTCGTTAGTCTCGCTAAAACTCGAGAAAGGCTGGACCGATTTGGCTAATTTTGGTCTTGAATTATTTGCAGAGGTCCAGAGAAGGTTTAAAAGGTAGACAAATATGTAAAAGCTCGGAATTAAATAAAAATAACAATTTTGTTTTTCCTTTGATTTTGTCCCCCGTCGGACGGATTCCTTTTGTTTGTTTTAAGTTTATTTTATACAAAAGCTTAGGTATTTTATTTATCGATTGAGGCACTACGAAGTCTGCCGGGTCAGCTAGTTATATATAAAGCTATACGCCATATATGCTGGATCGATCGACAGTAAAGATTATATTGAACATTTCTACAACCCCTGATCGCGCAAAAACATCTATTAATCCATTCTACAGTGTACGAAACATTCATCATTATTCCTCTATTATGTTTATCAAGCATTTGGATAAACGCCAGAAATGTTTTAACTCAATTCTTGTAAAAATTGAAAAGAAAAAATACATCCATCACTGATTTCGACTACTTTATAATAAGATGAATGTGAATCAGATTAGAGGCACGATTAATTTTTATGTCCACGATTGATTTATGAGTATGAACGAAGCTAACTTCCTATGTTTATGATAAAATAATTAATGTGTAATAAATTGCGATCATCTAAAGATTTCGATGAAGGCAATAACTTTTTGAACAGTTTTGAAGAATGTAGAAATACGGTTCGTTCGTGAGGAGACTAGAGCGTTTGGATGTATTCAAAAATATCTTCTCTGTTTACCCTGTGTGATAGAATTACATACGTGTGTTTCTTTTTATTAAAATCACTGTCAATCTGTACTTAAGGCTTCGTCAAACAGAACGCGTGCTTGGCGCTGCGTTTTCGCGCGCGCTCTTTTCTTACTTATAGCGCTGGGGCTCTGTTTGACGGTATATATTACCATAGTAGTACAACACATCTCGGCATCATAGCGCGCCGTCAGTTTGGCGTTCTGACGCGCGCTAATTACGCGGTCTGTTTTTTTTTTTTATGGCAATCTGTCGATACTTACGCGTTCTGTTTGACGAAGCCTTTAATTTGAAGTACATATCGCCTTGTCAAATGATTAACTACAGTTACGAATTTGCACATTATTAACTCGCCGATATTTACTCGACATGACGTATTCTTCAAAAAACGCTTTGCAATGCGTTGTTATTCAGAATGAAATTTAGATTTCGATTTTTTGTTTAGTGGGATATAACACGAACATTAATTTAAATTATCATCCCGCTATTTTCCAATTGACAGTTAAGAAAAACGTTTATCGAAACGGGAGCCTTTCATTTGAATGCAATGAAACTAAAATCTGGAAGCCCAAATCAATAAAAACAGCCACAACTTGTGGAGAGTATTATGCGGTAGGCAGCGGCTTGGTTCTGCCCCTGGCATTGCTGAAGTCCATGGGCGACGGTAACCACTCACCATCAGGTGGGCCGTATGCTCGTCTGCCTACAAGGGCAATAAAAAAAAAAAATACTCAGGCAATCATCCAAAACTTTCATTTCCATTACGTGCTCATTCAGTTTATCACTAGGTTTTTTATTTTACCATTATACCCTCATCTCTCATTGCTTGCACGCGTTCATTAGTTTTTATACACAATTAGCATTATATTGAAAAGGATATTCAACCATCGCCTGCACGCCATTCTTCTTGAAGACGACGATCCTTTGCACTTGTCCGTGCGGGGTGCTTATTGTGTGTATTACGTCCTGAAACAAATAAAAATAACACAATTAGAATAATGTTCGACTTCGCTCATAAAGAGAGAACGGAGAGTTCCTATAAAAGAACGTCTTTATAAGAACGTTTTTACTGGTGGTAGGAACTCTTGTGAGTCCGCACGAGTAGGCACCACCACCCTGCCTATTTCTGCCGTGAAGCAGTAATGCATTTCGGTTTGAAGGGTGGGGCAGCCGTTGTAACTATACTTGAGAACATTAGAACTTATATCTCAAGGTGGGTGGCGCATTTACGTTGTGGATGTCTATGGGCCCCAGTAACCACTTAACACCAGGTTGGCTGTGAGCTCGTCCACCCATCTAAGCAATAAAATAAAAAAACGTCATCGTCATCAGCTTCGCCAATAAAACGACGGCTTCTATGAGGCGGTAGGCAACAATATTTTAAGAACAAAAATTAATAAGAGACTAGCCCTACTCGTCCGCTTCGCTGGGCATTTATAATTAACATTATTATTTATTCTCATTATTATTAGGGAGTCCAACGCTCATATAACTATTAGCCTATCCATTAAGTACATGTATTTTCTCCACGGATACCACGTTTCAAGTCAATCGGATGCATGGTTCAGTAGTTATAACGGAACATCCGTAAAAACCACTGTAGATTTATATATTAGTATAGATAATCAAAAACGCATCATATAGTAGCGTGTGTGTATCGCGAAATCACAGGTGGGTAGTGGGCAGAGGCTGTTCCAGTCCCCTTGTTTCTGCCGCATGGTAATCAATCATGCCGATTTGAAGGGAGACTGCATCAGTTATCGTTGTTTCAAGAACGGAGGAGATATGGGGGGGGGGGGGGCTTTACTAAAGTATCAGAACTCCATTGATTAGTGACTCAATAATATACGGTCCTTAGTTACCACACAGTACCACAAGTTTTTTTTTTTTTGAGGTCAGCGTCAATTGTTTTATTGTTATTGCCCTTGTAGGCAGACGAATATACGGCATATTTAAAGTACCTAAGTACGTATATCACTTTCTAGTTTCCATAGTACAGGGAATCCGGTTTCGCGGCCGGTTAACAAACAGAATCAAATTTGTCCTCGATCATATATTTACTTTGAAAAAACATATCGGTACCGAGTACACACACACACACACACTCACACACACACACACACACACGGGTATACACATATACCTAGTACCCACAAACAGCTCGGATAATTTCATGTAAATTTATTTATACGCGTCTCACACGAGGGGACCGAACTGAAATTCAAATGACTTGCATTTAGTCTTGAGCTCTCGAGACGAACGACAATAAAGTGGAGAACACGAAAACTGGACGTTTCGATTTTAGACCCAAACCACGAACGAGAATATATTTTTTTTAATCTTGTAGACAGAGCAGAGCTTGCGGTAGGTACGGCAGGTTGGGTGTGCCCCTGGCATTGCTGACGTCCATGGGCGATGGTAACCATTCAACATCAGGTGGACCGTACGCCCGTCTGCCAATAATGGCAATCAAACAAAATGAGCACCAAATTTATACAAAGCGATTGAATATTCTTTATGTATTCCCGACGATGAAGGCGAACATCGCGTAATAAAAATCCAATCGGCACAATTTATAATATACGTGATTAGCAGTGGTGAGGCCGCGTCGTGCCTATTCCTGCTGTGAATCAATCAATCACGCGCTACTGTCGCTCTGAACTAATTAGCCGAAGCCACTGCTGAAACATTAACTTCATATCCCGTCACACATCACAATCATAGAAATGTGTTAAAACTTCGATAAGGTACCTGGCTCATAGATACACCAGCTCCGCCATATAATAAGATACAATGGCATCAGAAATACGCAACGACAAGGTTACAATTACATGAAATCATTAGACAAGACGTTAGTCAACGTGATTATGACATGCGATCGATTCCCGATATGTATCTTTACTGATGCGCTCCAATCTCAAAACTTCAATCCACATTGCTATCCACACAGCCGAGGATAGGCAGGAGTGGCGCAGGATAATCCAAGAGAAAGTTATAAGAGGAGGCTACGACCCTAAGTATTGAGGATTATCGACGCAAGAAGGAGGAGGATCTTTATTGAAGAGGCTTCAGGCTGAGTTCTGTGAGCTCGTCCGCCACCCACGCCCATCAGGATAGCTCTTCAAGGCTCAATAGGAATAATTAAGGGGCTTTGTTTTTTGTGTCTAGGGTATACACCCAGACTCCCACGTCTCGTAAATAAATGTTTCCGTGAGCTATGAAACAAAAGAGAATCCTAACTTAATATCGTTGAATCAAGGTCAATTTAATAAAAAGCACATAATAAAGTCCACAATCTAATCGTTCACGGTTATAATCGATTTATAAAAAGATAATTGAAAAACATATTTTTTTTGGTTTTGTTCACTTCACATTGCTCGCCACTGTACGGGCTGGGCCACGTGCGAGTCGGTATCGCAACGACCACTTGTTGGAATTATATACCCGCCTTTACGTGCCGCTCTGATAACATTTGCATTCGACCTTCTCAATAAGTTTTAATATAAAAAGGTTTAATATAAAGGCTAAATATAATATAAAGGTTTAATATAAATTTAAGGCGGGTGGCGCGTTTACGTTGTAGATGTCTATGGGCTCCAATAACCACTTAACACCAGGTGGGCTGTGAGTTCGTACACCCATCTAAGCAATAAAAAAATAATATAGTTATTCGTTAAAATAATCTGCCTGCAAGTTACGAGACGTCAGATCTCAAAATAGTAGTAGACTTGCTCAAGTTGTTCGAATCTCGAAGGGGAAGATCTTTGTCTCACGATCGATTCGTAGAGCACCTTCAAGTTTGTGTTGTTCACTTTGACAGACGTGTTTGCATTGAATAGAAAATATTACAGAAGTAATCTTTTTATTTGTCCTACAGAGTTAGGGATTCACACTATCCACCTGGAGTTAACGGGATACAAGGTGCATCACAACGTGTAGCCAGATCGAGATCCTCAGAAATTCGAATATCACTAACATCGCTCATTTACCCGGGACGGATCCGGGCAAATCCGGATTATCCCGATGCGAGGGGGATGAAGATGGTAAGTATTGACTGGTCGCAGAAAATAAAATTTACCTGATATGCTTTGTACGTAATACGGTTTACAAGTTGGTCTATACTTCGACAGAAAAATTTAAATAATCGACTTCACATCATTTCGGATCCTCCCGATCCACGCACCGGTCATCGTTCTCGTCGAACCCGTCGCTTGCGACGAAGAGCTCGGCGAGTAAATTAACCCACAGACACAGCCCACTGAGTTTCTCACCGGATCTTCTCAGTGGGTCGCGTTTCCGAGCCGATGGTAGATTCTGCGAAGCACTGCTCTTGCTAGGGCTAGTGTTAGCAACGTGTAGCTCACCTACTTGTTAGGTTACACAAGTATAGCCTCTCTAGGCTATCAGCTTTGGAAGCAAAAAATAAACGACTTATTGAATTAAAGTCACGAACTCAAAGTCGGCGTAGCCTTGAAATCAGGACACAAATACCAAACCCCGCGCCAATTTGAGATATTATTATTAGGTAAATTAAACCGAGTAAATTAATTAATAAAAAAAAAGTGCGTGCGTACAAAGTACACATGTCAGAAGTGAAACTTTTTTGGCGAACTAATTTATAAGTCTTGCTTATATTTATACAAATCTAAAACTTTAGATTTCCGAGACTTAGAGGAAGGGAAAAAGGAAGATATGTTCCCGCCGAAAGTCTGTCAAATGTCAATCTCAAACCTCAGTGTTGACAGTCACATTATGTTTAGATTTCTAAATTGTAAATGTCTAATATTTGTCCAATTGAATTGACTAATTTAATTTCATGCTATTTGATTAATGTGCCAAATTCTTTTCATTTCATTTCAATTCCTATTAACATTTTTCACAAAAAAATTATAAAATATTAATTAGGCTGTATGGTATGATACATTTGCCTTTCCAGTTGGAAAAATACAACAACAACTACTACTGACATTTGTTTGACAAGTACTTAATTTCAATAGTAGTTTGAAGTCACTTCCGTTGCATACCTGCGTGACGTTCTGTAAAAGTTTTACCCTCATGCGCCTAAAGAAGTTTCACTTCAAAATACATCGTTACATTCAGACGACAAACAGAAATACGTTTTACATAATTTTAAATGAATTCAAAGCGACCTAATAACGCACGTTGTTTATTTGAATCCGACAGTAGAGAACGACACGTGTACAGATTCATGTTCCAATATGTCAGTGTTCATTCAGTTCGTAAAATGAACTTTGTAAACGCGCTTGTTAGCTGTTACCCAGAAGCGCGCAGTGCCGGATTGAGATTGTAAACGCTATAAGCATTATAGGATTGAGATTGATTGAGATTGATTGAGCGCTATGACATGTCCTTCTTCAAACGAGGCTTGTGGAGAGTATTAAGCGGTAGGCAGCGGCTTGGCTCTGCCCCTGGCATTGCTGAAGTCCATGGGCGACGGTAACCACTCACCATCAGGTGGGCCGTATGCTCGTCTGCCTACAAGAGCAATAAAAAAAAAAAAAAAAACGCTATTGGAATTCTAAGTTCGAATTTTTCTAAGAAGCTTTCTAGCACCGTTGCGATTTGAACACTATTTTTTTTTATTGCTTAGATGGGATGAAGAGCTCACAGCCCACCTGGTGTTAAGTGGTTACTGAAGCTCATAGACATCCACGACGTAAATGCGCCACCCACCTTTCAGATATAAGTTCTAAGGTCTCAAGTACAGTTACAACGGCTGCCCAACCCTTCAAACCGAAACGCATTACTTCTTCACGGCAGAAATAGGCAGGGTGGTGGTACCTACCCGCGCGGACTCACAAGCAGTCCTACCATCAGTGCACAAAAGGTCCTACCACCAGTGTTCCAAGTGTTGCAATTACAGGTGGTACGATAATACAATAATTACCGCGTAATACATACCATAATAATATGTCAAAATGTTAAGGATCTAATAGAAACAACAC